CTCCCCCCCCCCCCCCCCCTCCATTTTCTTCTCTCTGACCCAAAGTTAATAGAAAATACTGTTCGTGTTTGGGCTTTTTCTTACAAACTGGTGTTCATTTATTTATTTTTAATATCAGAGCCTTCTAAGTAGTAAAATTTGACAGATGACAGGGAAACTTCCATGTGAGGAAACTCATTGTGCAGAATGCACTAGTTAACGTGCTGGCCCATGATCATAGATCTGATCGTGTCCCCCCAGTCTGGACAAGGGCCAAACTGCTCTCTCAGGTCCTAATCCACTCAGCATCTACGCTCTCTGCTTCTCTGGCTCTGTGTGCTGCAGTGTGCCTGTCCCTACTCTCTACCATGGTCTCTTTTCCTGGGTTCTAGGGTTGCCTTTTCCTCCTTTGGCTCATGCAGTCTGAGCAATTCAAACTCATGCTTTCCCTTGACTCCAGCTGTGAAGGCTACATAGGCAACAATTTAGGGCATGTGCTAATCATGAGTAAACAGAAGCAGATTTTCCTTAAGGTTTTTGGTATCTTGGCTAGTACCAGAAGGGTGTGTACAGGTTTAGGCAAAATGAATAAATCCCATGTACTTTTTTTTTTTTTTTTTTTTTTGAGGAAAAAGAAAAAAGCCCTCGTTTTTTTTTTTTTTTTTTTTTTTTTTGGAATGATTCCTTATCTGGATAGCCCTTCTGGTATTTAACTGTGTTCATGTATTTCTTTATTTTCTTGATTCTCCAAGGCATATTGCCTGTCTTAGGCTGCCTGTTTCCAGAGCGTCTGGTCAGCATCCAGCCAACAGAGGCAACACCTGGTTGGGCAGTTCTGCCATGGTACCAGTGTCCTTTCAGGAGCACTCTGAATGAAGATCATTAAAAAAACTCATCATCTTTCTCTGAAACTAAATTGAGAATAAATTCCACAGGCCTTCTACAGGTCTTCAACTTCTCTTTTCACAGCAGAAAGTCTGAATCAAAAGGACTGTATAGGTATTTGGGGGGTGGTAGGCAAATTACCTTGGAGCCTTGATTTTGAGACTTAAGAGCTTTTATTCTGAGGAAAAAAATATCACTTACCTCTCAGCCAAACCAGAGCATTCAGCAGCACCCAGGGAATCTCAAGTGTAGAAAGTGAACTACAAATTGGCTTCTAGACTATGGTTTTGTTTGCTAGACCTAGAACACCAGAGAGGAAGGCAAGGAGGGAAGGATATGGGCTTACGGAAGCTGGTCATTAAGGTTATCAGATCTTGTAATGTCTGAGGGAATATCTATGCTTGTTACAAAATCAGACTGCAGAAGAGTATGGGCCCCAGAATACTGCTTTCATCTTGAAAGCATATGCAGGTATAACAAACTGGTTTTTCACATAGTTGTCTGGAATTTTCCATAAAAGAGAAAGAGAGTGGAAGAGGAGCAGATGAGGTTTCCTCCTCCACCCCTATCCCCATACCAATACTTCTGACTGTCTGCACTGGTACTTTTGCTGATAAGAGTAATTTAGAGTTTGTAAGAGGTCTTCAGTGCCCACCTTTGGACAGCTGGTGTGTAGTTGCAACTTCATTTAATAAATAAAAACAAAGCCTCACTAACTGGTATTCAGAGAAAGTGATATAACTCTCCTATTTACAAATATGCAACTGTTTTCTGCTCTCTAGTTTGAAAAATTATTTTCAAGAGATTGCTTCTATTTATACCCCCAGAAGAATACTGTAGCAGTCAGCTGCTTGCTTCCCTTACTATTTGCAGTGATAGGGTATACAAATTATAACTTTGTAATTGTGATTCCTGCTTTGAGTACTCTGAAAAAGTGTAGCCTAATTAAATAATTGTGGCAGTTGTTTATTTTTTTAAATACATATTTGCAGCTGAGAGTTACAAAGAAACCCAGATGGTAAAGATAAAGGAAGAGCCAATGGAAGTTGACATTCATGATTCGCAGGCTTCAGTGTCACCCAGCCAACCCAGCCAAAATGTTGGCTACAGCACTTTATTAGGGCGAGACATTAGTGAACACATACAGAAGGCACCAGAAGGTCGTGTGGTCCCAGAAAGAAATCTATTCAGCCAAGATATATCAGTGAAGATGGCATCCGAGCTGCTCTTCCAGTTATCAGGTAAAAGCAGTTGAAATAGTCAATAGTTGAATTTAAAGAACAAGAAAAGATTGTGTATAACCATTAAGGTGCTATGGAAGTGTGAGATTGCCGAGGCTGAAAAATAATAGGAGTTAGAGCCCTTCTACCCTCACATTTGAAACACAAAAGCCTTGCCAAATGTCCCCCATAGTTAGCATATGCTTTAGAGCACTGTGACAGTCAGGTCAGGTTCACAATATTTGAACTGAATTGGAAAAGCCGGAGTTCAACTCCTGTATTTTTGAAAGCTAATTAAATAATTTGTGACAACTGGTTGATCCAGGCCTTGGAGTATAGGGGAACCTATAGATGGCAGTTACTGGTATAAGTGGCCAGTGGCTGCAGCATACAGTGCGCTTGGGGCTGTGCTGTCCATTTCTCTTGACAAAGAAGGTGAACCTCAGCTATTACATAAAGGCAATGATATCAGCACTGTTTTTAATGAATGCTCGTATCGCACACTTTGCATGGAGCACTAACACTGAAATATGAAGCCGAAAAAATTTGTTGGGTGTTAGTTTAAATAAAGTCATGCCCATTCTCTAATCATGCTGTAACCATTTACCCTAAATTACTCTGGATTATGCTGTTATCAGAAAGCATTAAAATAGTTCTGCTGAATAAAACCTGATAGGGAAAATATGATGTATGCTAATCACAAAAACCCATGTATGTTCCTCTGCAGAAAAGGTGAGCAAAGAGCACAACCACAATAAAGATAATGCCATCAGAACTACAGCCAGGTAAGTACAGTCCATTGTTAGCTGCAAAGCTGTAGTGTAAATGGCATTGCTTCATTTTGCCTTGTGAACTCAAATGTGTCTGTCTCCTGCAAATGTGACCTGATATTACAAGTGCAAGATATTTTCATGAGTAATGTAACCTATATCTGAAAAATTACACCTATAGATATGATTGCTTAGAGTTCATGAGACAAAAGGCTTTTGGGCCAAAATGACTGTTCTCCTCTGATCAAGTATTCACACGTCATTTTCAGAATTATTTTTTTCTATTTTTTTCTACAAAACCTGAAACATAAAAGAAACTGCATAGTACATGCAGTGCTTGAGGGAAGAACAGGCTGACAACTGGATTTTAAGACATGGACCAATGTAAGAAGAGGTGATTTTGATTCAGTCTTCTGTCAAACTTGGATTTCTTTAATAAAATTTCACTTTAGTACTTCTGTCATCTCAATGCCTTCTAGAGATGAATTTTTAAAAGTCAGACTGTAAGACAATGCTAATGAAACATTTGTTAAAGATTACAGTCACATTAATACAATAAATGAAATTACCCAGGAATTAAAAACATGATCCAATTATAGCATGTGCTGTTAAAGAAATATGCACTTTACAGTATTGTGGCTGGGAACAAGCCCATGAGTTGTTTACATATACATGAGCAGCAAAGTGAGGTGTCCCTATGGGAAAATTCAAAGCTCTTATGTAATAAGTGGTAGCTAGAATTGATAAAAACTTAGGAGCTCATGGTGAGGAGCAGGCAGGAATTGGCAAGGGTACATTTCTTTCCTACCTGAAAGTTTCCTAATCAGGGTGGATGGGTTGGAGACTGAGCACACTGAAGTGACAAAGAGTTCCTTCAAAGATAGAATAAGACCATCTGTACCTCCGCAGCCCCTTCTACAGACGTTCCCGGTGTGTTCAGTGCCTGCTAACTAAGGCAACTTTGTCCAGACAGAAATTGAAAAGCATTTCAGTTGCAGAAGAAAAGATCTCTAAAATATGTTGTTCTTAAATTCCTAGGCCTATCCCATTCATCCATGGTAGCTGTAATAAATAAATAATTTGTTTTTAATAAACTGACCAGCTCAGTAAATATGTACAGTAGGGACTTTCTGATGTTACAAGTTGAAAGACAATTAAATTGAGCTTTTAACTTCTGGCTACCATGAATGCTTCCCATATTTGCTAGTTTAGGAATCTGTGGGATATGCAGCCTGCATAGCCTTCCTGTAACTACTTAAAAAGCACAAGCCTGAGAGATACATATGGAGATAAATGCACATATTGTCCAACTACTCATTAACCATCCAGTGTGCATTGCAGGGAGGGGGTGACAAATAGTCAGGTGAAAATAGATTTCACTGTCTCGTGATGTTACCGGCAGAACTGGTGTGAGAATCCAGAGCTACTTTTGGATCTATCAAAGATAACTCAAACTGGAAAGGTTGAGGACAGTTCAAAGATAACTTCCCCTTCTCCTGGCTGCCAACTCTTAAAAGGGTAGCACAGGTGGCTGTTGTCAAACTTGCACTGAGTTTTACTGAGAAGTCCTGATAATGGCTGTTACTCATCAGGGCATGAAATACTGCGTGCCTGATTCAATTCTTCCGGGTGCTTTCTTATCTTGCCTATCTATCAACAGAAGAAGACATGAATGAGAAGAGCTTCTTAAGGGGAAGTGAGTCAGTCTACTAAATTCTGCGAGTTCAAAAAGATTGACTTGAAAGACCTTGCCAAAAAAACCCCACCCAAAACCAAACAAACAGCTGGAAGTCTTTACTGGTAAGGGTATGACGCCTTCTCAAAAATAGAGTGTGATGGAGCAGCCAGTGGAGGATAGAGGCACTCAGACTGCATTAAGAAAATGTGTGGTGTTGCAGTTTGGCTCACCAACCTACATCTGGAGTAATGACAGAAAGGCATTTGCATCACAATTGTTATGTGAAGTTTGCTGACAGCTGCAGAGAGCCAAGGTGAGGTCAGTGTTGTCCACCTGTGAGTAGTTGGGGAGCGGAGAGATTAAGCTGTGTCATTGGTGAGAGTCTTAAATCAGCAAAGCCCAGCAAGATGGGGTACACAAGCACTTTTTGCTGTCTTATTCCATATTAACATTTCTAACTGTCACCTATCTCTTACTGTTCCTCCTGTGAGTATTCCTGGACTTTGCAAGCATATACTTCCATATGACTTTGCTTAAGCAGCCAAAACTGGCAAGGATTCCTCACAGTTCAATGGCTGAGTGAGATGGTAGAGCCTGCCATCTGTGAAATGAAGACAGAAAGTGGAGAAGCAAATGATCTGGAAGTGAGTACGCCAGCGTAAGATGCCAAGATAAGTTTCTTTCATCTAGAGAACTGTGTAGCCATAAAACTGGAAAAGTGCAGAAAAAAAACCTCCTAAAGCTTAATCTTCATCAGAAGGGACTTTGCACAGCGATTGAGAACAATGTATGTAGTTTCTTACTATGAAGCAGGAGCTCCTCCCTCCATACTTTGCACTGGGAATTGGAGGACATGTCTGCTGAAGTAAAAATAATAATAGGGCCAACACTGACGAGACTCAGCTGCCATTCTAGAGGAAGGCAGAAAAGAGGTATCCAAGGATGGTTCTGTAATTCATCGGAGGCCGATGGCGGAGAGGGAGATCCTTGGGACACAACACGATGCAGTCTTCAACAGCAACCTGCTCATGATACATGGCCTAGCCCGAAATAGATAAGCTCTGCATCATCCATTTTGCTTAGAACCAGCAGTGAGCAGTGTCCCAGTGACTGAATCTAAGGCACAAGCAGGCAGGCCAACATGGAAACCTGAGTGGATTACAAGATTTTGAAGAGTTACAACAGTAATAAAACTTTTTTTATTGGTGTTTTTCTTTCAAATCATTATTAAACCAGTGAGAGGAATGTTGCAATAAATGGTGCCATATTTTTATACAGCGTCAGTCTGTTTTATATTATGTCACCCCTGAGTGGGAGTGTGAGTCTTGGAAAAAGTTAAGTTTTGCACATGTGGACTGGAGCTGTTTTGCTTTATCCTGATCACTTGTTTTCTTGAGTATTATGCATTGTTCAGCTATCTGCATACACTGAACTGTTCAGGTTTAGGGCAGCTTCATGCCTTACCCTTCAGCACAACCTAATGTTGACTGTGTTTATGATTATATTAAAACTTTTGTAGAAATACCAAAATATCCCATTAACTGTCACATATGGAACAGCACAAAATAAATAATGGCCAAAAAACTTAATGAGAAGGTAAATAATGTGATTACTAAAAGTGTTATGTGATCAGGTTAACTAATTATCAACAAGTTTCCCAAAGGCAGAAGAGATCTGACTAAGCATACAAGTGACTCAGTGGAGAACACCCTGGTTCACTCTCTGCAGAAAAACTGTATGAGGGAAAACAACGCAAGTGCTGTTGTTTGGGTTGACACCTTGGGTATCTGGACTGGTAGGGTCAACTTGGTTGGTGCTGCTGGCACATACTTTCTGGGTCTGGACTACCCACTGTGCAAGACTTTGTAAGACCGCACACTATGTTCCTTATCCTGAAAAGGTTCTTGGATTTTATTACTGAATGAGAAAAGGCTGCAGAAATGAGCTGGCCTCCTGTCCTGCACCTTTAAAACACCTACTATACACCAGCCTGTTAAGGATTCTCAATGTAAGAGAGATTTAATGTAATTCTCGTTTTGCTTAGAAGAAATTTATAGTTTGTATACTGGTGGAATATACTGCCTTAGAAGACAGTTTTCCAAGAAATACTGTCCTTTTCCATTTTGAATTTTTTGATGTACCTCTTACTGATGTCTGTCTGTACTGTAGACAAGGAATTCCTGTTTCTGTTATGATCTTGAATCAAGCAGAAAACAAAATACTTCGACAGAAATGCCAATTTGCTGTTGAAATTGACTTTTTACTGCCTGCTAATTAAAACCAAAGCATGCTATGCTGGTAATTTTTGTACTTACTACTCTTTGGAAAGTAACCATTCAGTTAGCTTATATGAATTGTTTCCTGTTTTAAAAATTAAACTCATGGAGTTTAATTTATGGAACGCAGTGTCAAAAGAGAACTATTCAGCGTCCTAACCTAAAATTTTACAAGTTTTGTTTTAAAAATAATTACTATATACCTTAGATTATTAAATAATAGTATTTTCCACCTTTCCTGATTGCCATCTCCAGATATGACAGTAAAATACAAATTTTTGGACAGTAGAATACAGATTTTTGAAGCATTAATTTTAATGATCCATGTTGTATTGTGGTATAGCAAATCTGAGATGTTGAAATGTAGTTAAAAGCCTTTTGGGAGGACTTCAGTTTTCACTCTGAGATGCAATTTTACCAAAGCATGCCTCCACTCCTTGCCTCAAGGTCTGGGTATCTTTTAGCATGAATTCTGTAAATAAAACAGGGCATTTAACAAGATGGTATTTGTTATAATATTAAGATGTTAGGGTCAAAAATCATATTTACTTCTTCTGTCAACTGCTATTTTGTTTACAAAAAGACGTCTTATTTTTTCCTGTAGCCCTTTCTTTTCTGAAGACACATTTAGACAATCACCATTCACTTCCAACTCAAAAGATCTCCTGCCTAATGAAAGTACTCTTCATGGAAGGACATCTGCACCAGGTCAGATACCTTTTTCTTTCATCACTTCCAGTTAATATATCTTTTTATAATTTTTCTTACTGTAAACTCCACCACCTGACCAATGCTCTTAAAATGTAGTTTGCTTTGTCAAAAGGCAACTATCTCTCCATCACAATAAGTGCTTATTATTAAGAAGAAAAAGAAAAAAGTTAAATATTGGTGAAGCATTTGTATTAATAGTCTTTAATCTACTATTTCCGTGAATTGTACAAGTCTGTAACAGATTAAACTTGGTAGTATTAACAGAGGTGGGGGGGTTTTGTGTGTGCGTCTCCCATATGTAAAGGAACTTCACTGATGTCGGATTACTGTCTGCTATTCTGTTATTGGCCATGTCCATCTCCATCTCTCAGAGTACAGATTAAATGTTTGCAGTACACGTATCAGAGTGGCTGAGCTTGGCAATACAATTTCCCTGCCTCTAACAGTAATTCAGAAACCTTTTTGGAAGGATGTGGAGTTCTTAAAACATACTCAAAGTATCTGTGGGTACATTCCCACTCATCTCCTGAACTAGTGGACAGGCATTTTATGCCCAGATGTAGCTTGGGTTATACTCTGCATTAAAATGGAAAATACAGGCATGTAACAACACTATTCAAGGTGGCACTGAACACATGCAAAAACTTGATATGTTCCTTTACTGTCCTGTTGGAAAATAACTCGTTTGCTAGTTCACTGCTATCTGTTCTTAAATTAATAGCTCTTGGGTTCTAAAGGTCAGTAATTACACAGCCAGCCGTAGGCGGGGTTATTCACCTTTTCTTAGCAATCAATAAAGTTTTGGGCACATTACTGCTAATTTTCAGCTATAGACTGTCATTTAATTTACAACATAACAGACCCTTCATTTTTTTAAATGCTTGAATAGTCGTTTGACAGCTTGTGAAGTGGCAGATGAGGTTAAGAGCTAGATGTTGTGTAAGGGTAAATATGCATAGCAGGAAAAAGAAGAAAATTTGTAGCATGAAGACAAGGGTCTTCAGGCACTCAGCTGCACTTTTGCAAGGAAGTAGTGGATTTTGTAACTCGGGGTGAGGAGAACCAGATCAGGTGTGGTGCTTTTAAGTATGAAAATGTAAACCAGGTTAGCACTTCAGTCCTGGCTTTTGACCTTGGCATAACATGGAATATTCATATACCCAGATGAAAGACAAGAACTCTTAAGAGTCCTTGGGCAGTGCTCAATACCTCAGAGGACATGGCCTCTAGCAGCAATACTCTTACATCATACCAAGATGAATGTATAAGAATTTTAATTCTCTGTAAGACTTCATTTTAAGTGAGGCCACTAAAACTGTGGATGGGTTTCAGTGGGATGTTTAATCTTCTGCTTAAAAGATGTAAAGTATCCAGTTGGTTAGGACATCTTGGAATGTTAGAATAGCTTCTGAGGAGCTGGGGTTTGTATGTTTATGCTGCCCCATATTCTGCCTTATGGAATATAAGTATTACCTTGATAGGTCTGTGTATTATAATATATATTGCTCTGTGATTATAACACTCTGATATGTAATAGCAGCATGTATACTGAAAATGAAAAATGCCAGTTTCTGCTTCATTTTTGCTTTTGGAACAACCCTATCATTCCAAATATGTTGATTTTTCTCAGCTTCATAATAAGTTCTTGGACCTGAAGTGCAACTTCACAGTAGCACCAGGAATGAGATTTAAATTTTTAATCAATTACAAATGTGATATCCATGTAAAAGAAAAGCAGGATACCCACAGGTAGATTTCTTACTAGTTTCAGCCTTGCAAGAAGAAATAGTCTATGTAGTGGTATGGATAGCTCAGAAGAAACTTTATCCCTGCCAAGAGTAGCATAAAGGAACAGTAACAAACATTTGTAAAGGCCAGCAGGTTGTAACAGAAAATGCTGTGGAAATGTGTATGTGGTGTCCCATGGATAAATGGTATGTATGCCTTCACTTGAGATTTTGTTTTGGGTTACTTCATCCCTGAAGCAGGATAGTAAGAAGTAGAAAAGAACAGCTTAAGAAAATGACAGGAAATTCCCAGTCCAGTGTCATCTTCAAGTCATCAACTAAATTCCAAGCAGATTAACTGCTAACGGCGAAGAATGTTCATTAAGCAGTGCCCATATCCAAAAATGTGACTCTGTGCCACGGTCACGACAGCCTAGACAAGGCTGATGAACAAGCGTGGGGTCTGAGCTGCTGCTCTGTGCTGGCTCTCTGCGACCAGGCTTGACTTAGGCAGGCAGAGTGGCATGAGGAAGCCTTTGCTGCCACTTGGTCTGGGTGGCCTTGGTGGAACCCCGTGCACATAGTGCTTCTTTCTAAGAGAGCACCAATATGGGTGGTTGTATCGCCAGACTCCTGCCAACTTTCTGTCTGCAGACTTCTTGGCACCCTAGCTGCAGAGGAATTGGGAAAAGTGACAGGAACATAGGATAGTAAGATATCTCATGTGTCAAATTCAATTCTTTTCTATAATAGGTAACAACATTATGTAATCTCATTCATTATCAAGATCTATCTTAAACGTGTCTCATTATTTGTACGAGGACACTGTTCCAGAAGCTCACCCCTTTGAAAGGCTGGGACCACTCTCCTTTCAGCCTGAATTTATTCACAAGCACGTTCTACTTTTGTTGTTTCACCAATGCTGTCCTTCAGCTTTGATAATTCTCCCTTGTGATGTTCACCATCTGATGTGCCATCTTACATCCCACTAATCCTGTCTTCATTTTGGAAAAGTAAGCCAGCCAATGTCTTTCAGTCTCTTTTAGTATGATAGGGTTTCCATTTCCTGACTGACATCATAGCCTTTTTCTGCCTTTGTTTATGAAAATTAATTTATGCAAATATGAGTAGTCAGAACTATATATACTATTTTACAGGAGGTCTTACCAATGACTTTTTCAGTGGTATATAATCCTCTATGTGTATATTGGAATTGCCTCTCCTGATTAATCACAGTCTTTGTAACTACAACATGCCAATGACTCTCAGTTCATTTGCTGATCAAATAGTAACATGTTTTTCTTTTCCTTTACAATTTCAGCTGATGATTTCAGCATGCCACAGAAATTCTCGTTCCTACTTTCTAGGCATATGACCTTGTAATTTGAATTGTTCCACTTGTTACTCTAGCTCTCAAGATTATTTCTTTAGTACTCTGAAATTTCTGCATATTGATGATATTGCTTTCATTAATGCAATGCTGGGTTTTTTTTTGTGTTGGAGGCTATAAAAGAGGATTTTTAAGTACGGTTGGTCCAAAGTTCAGCCCTTGAGACTTCAGCTTAGTGGCCTCCTCAGTGCAAAACACTTCACTTCTCTTTGTAGCCAGTTTATAAGAAAATTGCAAGATCAGGTATTTAAAAGGAAGAGCACTCTTTGTAGGGCATTGAGTATATAAGATCCTCAAGGAAAAGAGTATGAAATAATTAGGAAAGATGTATCAAAAGATATGTGAGAGCAATGCACTGATCAGGGCATTTACTGGAGAAAAAAAACCCTTAGTAAATAACAGCATAGTGATGGATTTGGCCTGAAATAAAGGTGAACAGGTAGGAGAAGTGATTCTTATGCAGCAGCTTTTAAGTCTGGTACCCAAGGAAATGACAATGAAATCTCCAACAGCTGTCAGAAGGGGACTCAACAGCCCTGCAGAAGTCATGGTAACACCCTGATAATCTGTGGTGAATTCTTAATATTCTGAGAAGGGAAGAAAGTAGTTTCCTGTAGTACATAGTTCAAAAGTATTGGACAGATTTGGGGAACTACTTCCCTTCCTTTTTAAGGTATTTTGTATGTTAATAACCACACAACGTTAGCTGTAGTTACATTACACTTTTCTGTATTACTATTACTGTCCAAATAAGCTCATTCTTACTCAAAAATGGAAATAAAATAAAATAGTATTGATGTCCACATCGAGCACACTTCGCTCAAAAATTACCATAGTATCAAAGTCATATCTAATACAAAGTCATATCCAAAACAATTCAATAATTTCAGCTTTTCCCTATAAGAATAGCAAAATGACCTTTTTTGGCCTAGCAGAAGGTAGGGAGAAGAAATGAAAATTTTATTTCAAACAGCCGCTTTAAAAGGGCATTTTTATCTTCTGTTTCATAAGACTCTTCTTTTGACAGAACAGAGTTTAGTTTTATGTCAGACTATATAGTTCAGTCCAGATCGCTAGATAAATTAAAAACTTGATCTTATGCTGGTGTTCCCGACCCTTAGCCAATCTTTAATGTGTTTTAATCGTTTTCCACTATCTCACTGACTCATTCTGTAAATCAAACCTGCCTTCATGAAATCCAGATGAGTGATATTCACTATTCCTTTTCTGGTCAGTTCATTAATATTGGCAAAGACTCCAGCCATGGGTTTTTGGAAGTATTTTTTCTCTATGTATATCTGCGTGTAGTATAATAATATTTCATTATTTTCTCTCCTATTCACCAAGGACCTGGTATTCTCCTTCATTTACATTGACAGTGCCAAATATTGAAACAGTCTCATCTGTAGAGGGTTAAATTTAGGGGGGGGAAAAAATCCATCTCTTTTGTGAAAATTTACTCCTTCTTGCAAAATTGTAATTTTGATTGTGGTAAGTGAATTTCATATGGCTAAAATAGACTTTTGGAACTGGAGGATGTAGGGTTTGGGGAGTTGTAGTCCATGAATAGCCCTGGCTTTTTTAATTTTGTCCATTGGTGCCAGAGCTAAATTTACTGGTGTTGTTTATTTCAATGAAATAAAACCAATACAGCTTCTGTCCTGAAGTACATTCTTGAAAATGTATCAGAGCTTCTTCTGTCACTGTGTCTCCACACTCTTTACTGACCTGTAAGATGACAGATAGGCCATGCTTCCTCTTTAGAAATGTCCAGAAGCCAATATTGAATCAGTAGTGTGATACTTAGTTTAGTAGAAAATTGGAAACATAGTGCAAAAATTTCTTATTTTGGTACTGTTAGTTGTAGTTCTGTTGATGAT